TAACACTTTTTCCCGAAGAGACACTGGTCGCAACAGACACAATGTGACCAAGTGATGAAAAAAAATGTCATCAAGTGAATCGCTCGCGTCTAACGATGAGAAAATAAATGTGCGTAATTCCTGCACATACGCAAGTAATGTCAATACATGATCAAACTCAGCTTTTGTTATGTCCCCAAACTAAATCCTATATTATCTGTAAGTCTTCAAATTCCATAAACAACCATTGAACAGGCCGTGAGTAATTTTGTGCAGCCATCTGCTTAATTTCCGAAAACACTTTATTTATGATTGTTAGTCAAGGCTGAATTGTATTCAAACACTGGGCACATTATCCCTGCTGATTTTAATGGTTGATTCGGATATTTTAGAAGATTAATTGTGCTGTTACTAGAGGTCTAACACGCTTAAAAATATTCTTTTAATAAATATATCGGCATGTGACAGACCACAGCCTGTAGTGCTTTTTTCACATAAAATGCTTTTTATTTTGACTTTTGTAAATTGGTACTAACCGTGAAGATAAGAATCCCTCTAGCAAAATATCTATAAGCTTATTTTTAGCTTATGTAGCATTTATTCAAAGATGGATGCACTTCACTGTTTACTGTCCCTTGGCTCAAAGGTTTTCCAGGTTTTTCCAGGACATCTAAATAACACATAGGAGCTGAAGCCAGCAGTCACTATTGGGCAGTTCCTTGTGATGTGAAATCATTTAATACTTCTAATAAAAAAGTTAACACATTGTTGTGAAAGCTTTATGTCCTAGTGGTTGAAAGAGAAATACACTCTGGAGATTGCTCTAAATGTAACAGCAACACACATCCTTATCTTGTAAGCTATTGTTGCCACCACAGACGCTCCACGCTAGGTGCATTCACTGAGACCTCAGTAAAAAAAAAAAAAAAACAAGGCTCTTTAGTGTTGATTGAAACTGTTCGCAGCTCATACAGCCCAGTTTAACTGCCCGACTTACATCCAATTAAACTTATCTAGGCCATGAGGGGACAGTAATATGATTACACAGGCTTCCCACATTTAGCCTTGACTTCAGCTAACTGTGCAGTAGTGTCTTGCTGAACTGATTCCATTGTATGAGTGTTTCTATGTTTGTGTGTGTGGTGAGTGCTGTATTATTTGGCTCAACATTTCTCGACACAGAGCCAAAATACTCTGTAATATTTAAGTGCGCCATTTTTGAACTGAGAGTTCTTCTTAACAAGAGGGTGACTCCTAGGTTAACCATTGTAATTATGGGGCTAGGTAGCAATACATAGCTTAAATTCCTCAGACACAGTTGTAAAGTTAGTGCTCCAACAGTGATATTTAAGCAGAAAATGGCACATGTTTACAACACCTTCGCTTTGGATCGCCCAACAGAACAGAATAGAACGGAACATTAGAACCTGCATTTAAAATATTGTTTATCATTGTATGAGTTCACATAATATAGAATTAGCATGGGCTGATAACTCAACTCAGACCCTTTTGCGTGCAAACCCTGCATATGCTTAGCCTGCTCATTTGGTGCAACCAAATCAAACTTTCCTGGGTCCTATTGCTAGAGGAATATCAGCTGCTGTGAGTCGTCCATCCAGGGAAATAAACACATGGTAAACCTTATTCTTTGACTGTTGGTCTGAGCGCACCAAGGCGAGAATATTCAGTGTTTAAACTCTCGGAAGGCGGATATTGTTAAGAGATGGACGCTGACTGGTCATATTTTGCCACATTATGACAAATGCTGCGACTTAAACGCAGCCAGGAGGAGATACTATTTCCCATTCCTTTAAACGCATCAGTTCCTCTTGTGTACTGTGTAGTCTTTTAAACTCATCTTTTGCATTTTCACTTGTCTTGATAAGCAGCCCTAACTTTTGAATTTTATTAGTGCATCACTTATTCCTTCCCTCACATTACTTATTTATGCCGTGCTAATACGCATCATTGAAATGATGAGGAAATGATTTGACAGTATTGTTTTGGACTGTCTGCCCTGGTTCTCTTATTGTCTGCTGAAAGAGTATGTGTGTAGTTTTTATTTATTGCCATTTTTTTATTCTGCGGATAACATTATGATCAGAATTATGTTGACATACGGATACATTTTAAATGTCGTAATTCAGAACCCGTATAAGACAATTAGTGTGGCGGCTTTTCAGTTTTTAGAAATTCAACTTCATATCCAAGTCCTGCGTTTCATCTTTTAATTAGAGTTCACTATGTATATTTCATACTGTTAAAACAGACAATGACATTTTGATGTGCGAATTATTATTATTGTTATGCAACTGCGCAACACTAATGCTGCAAGCATGTGTCGAGCATGTGTCCATACAGGCCACAGGCCAATATGTTTACACAAATATCTCCATAGCTTCGGTCATCCGTCTGCCAAGAATTACATCTTTAGCTGCGCTTCACGAGGCACAAATAAACTATTACATTCTTGTTTTTTCGTGCTGTTCATCAGTCTCTGTTATTCTGATTCATTTGACTGAAATGTTTGGCCTTGTAAAAATCAAACAAAACAGAATTTTTTGGCTTTTATTCCAGTTTTAGTGGTACATTATCTTACGTGGACAGCTAAACCCAAATTGCAGAAAATGCGTTATGGTGTTGAGTGTGAAAATCCAGCTCAGTGTGTTTTTTGTTTTTGTTTTGTTTTTTTTTTTGTTTTTTTAAGTTTCAGAATATCTAGTTGCTGAAATCCAAATTCCTCTCATTCTCAACGTTTATGGTTTTCTATAGAACAAAGGAATTTAGCGTTACTACTGCCATTCTGGGTTTTATGGTGGACGTAGAGAGGATTTTAGTGGTCAAATTCAAGTGCTGTGTCTGGACAGCTGTCTGCTTTCTTTGTACTTGGATGCAGGATGCATCATGTGAGACAACCTTTTGTCTGTAGCGGTAATAAACAAGCTAATGCCATTGCCACCTTTTTCACGAATACGCCTGCAATGGACTCTCATTTCCAATGCTGAGTTCTGATGATGTTGCTTGTTCGTCCCCTTGCTTGGGAGCAGCAAAAACACTAAATTTGTTTTCCTTTTTTTTTTTTTTTTTTAAACAACACAGGTGTCCCATAAGTGGTTGTAGTAGAACGATAGTGTTATTGGAATATTGGATAATAATTGAAGAGTCTATTGCAACATTTAGGAAGTAGCCTATAATCATAAACAATGGGCCATCATATTAATTTCACCTTGTGATAGTATCAGTTAGTCTATAAAGAGTCAAAGATGGCTCTCAACAGTACAATTAAAAGTTTACAATGACGCAGGAAAGAACACGCAGGCGCATCTTTTCTCCAAACCATTCATTTTATTACATTTTATTTTATTTTTTTAAAAAAAAGTCCGGGCGACATGTCTCTCTTTTTAACAGTCACCCACAGATAAATGTCGACATTCTGGTGGAAAATAAAATGATCACAGCAGCTTGCAACATCAGCTGGGACTTATTTAATTTTAGAGGGAAACGTCGGATACAGTCATACTGCTTGGTCAATAGGCTCAGTCTGAGTGGCCTGAAAGTAGCCGTTTACAAGAAGACAAATTGTTGCTCTGTTTTGAAGCTTATAGACAAAAGCTGCAAACCAAAACATTTAATTTGATCGACTAGTGAGTCCAAGGAGACATCATACCCCAGCATATCAGTTGAATATTTTATAGAGAGGGATATTCTGGGCGGTGTTGTCAATAACTGGAATAATGCTGACTCCATCAGTTTGAGGGGAATAATTACATATTTCTGAGTTTGTGTTTATGTAGTTAGGGCACATTTTCCCACTGGAGGAGATGCACGGTCCCAGGGCTTCACTGGTAGTACTCCTGCAGGAACTCCAGCAACCTTGGGTCTTGAATTGCGCATCTGTCCTCCATGGACTCTGTCATGATCCAAAGTCAAAGGGAATAATGAGAGAGGGCCGATGGCTATAGCTTGCTCAGTCAACATGTATGCTGTGTATTCTCCATTGCCTAAACGTTGGCTCAGTTTCACTTTACAAATGATCATACACTGATCCAGTGTAGCGAGGTTTTTCATGTGGTGAAAGAGAGAAATAACTAAATAAAATGGATGACGAATTAATATGTTGCATAATTCTAAATAGATGACCCCGGCTCATCCACACCTCTGTTTAATAATGTGTGCCGCAGATTTATGCAGCCACTATTAAATAATGAAAAGGGGATCAAAAGAACTAATATAACCCTTATGAAAAGATCTCCTGTATATTCAAAGACCACAGTGTAAAATGTCCTGGGGAGCCTCAGAGATTTGTAGAAGAACAGGAGTCATTCACTCTGAAACTTTTTGTAAATAGTGAAGCGATGATTTAGGTCGTGGGGTTGCTTCTGAAAGGATTTATACCTTACTGTGCGAATCCTAATGCAGATTTGTACTGTATGCAACAGTGTCAGTGATTCCTCATTCTGTGATTAAAATATTAACATTAACCAGTAGCCCAATAGTATTTGTAAAGCTAATAATAATAATGATAATAATAATAATAATTATTATTATTATAATAATAATAATAATAATAATAATAATAATAATAATAATAATCTTACCTGTAACACTCCATAACACTATGAAATACATGCTACTGGGTGCGCTCTGCAGTTTGTGCTATGCCTGTTTAAGGAGCTGGAGCTGTTTAGCTAGCCTACCACCAGCCCATAAACATAAACACACACAGCACATATCGCTCTAATTGTCATAAGCCAGCAAACAGGAATCTGTTACTGGTTTTCTTAGTGCGCCTTTGGTGTTTGAAAATTATTCGTTTGAACCTCCTCGATCTTACCTAAAGCCAACCACTCCTACACATCCAACTCTTCCAAATTGATATATGACAATATCTACTTTCGATCACGTGTCTGCGGGGCGACTTAGACGGATTGCGCGTCATCTCGCCTTCCCAAATTTTTCCCTTCTGCTGCAGCTCGTATCCAAAACATCTATCTATAGTACGGAGTACGAGAGAGAGAAAGATGTTTAACTCGGTGAATCTGGGCAACTTCTGCTCCCAGACGCGCAAAGACCGGACATCCGAGTTTGGGGACAGGACTGGCTGCGCGTCCAATATCTACCTCCCCAGCTGCACCTACTACGTCCCCGAGTTTTCTGCCGTCTCCTCGTTTCTTCCACAGGCCCCGTCCCGGCAAATCAGCTACCCTTATTCCACAAATCTGTCTCAAGTACAGCCGGTACGGGAAGTTTCATACGGCTTAGACCCTGCTAGTAAATGGCACCACAGAAGCAATTATGCATCGTGCTACTCGGGAGAGGATCTGGTGCATAGAGACTGTCTTCCACCATCCACCATGACAGAAATGCTTATGAAGAACGAGAGTGTGTACAGCCACCACCATCACCATCACACCCATCCGGTCTCCAGTCACCCCTCCACAGGTTTTTACTCCGGCGTGGGGAAAAACAACGTCCTCCCGCAAGGCTTCGACCGCTTTTTTGAGACCGCATACTGCAGCAGCACGGACAATCAGTCAGACAATTGTTTACAAAAGGGCGAGGGGGGAAAGCTGGAAAGCGACTCCCAGCAGCAGCAGCAGCAGCAGCAGCAACAACAGCAGCCTACAGCCTCCGTACCCGGAGCCCCGGAGCAGGAAAAAGATCCAGAAGATGAGGAGGAACATACAAATTCAGGCTCATGTACTTCTTCCTCCGCAACAACCAAGGACGGCAACGCCAGCAAGAGCAGCCACTCGAGTAGGTATACCGAAGCAGTAAAATGGGGGAAGGTTAAGGGGACTAGCCCGGTGTTTTGTCGGTCAGATTTTATGTGGAGTTTTATAAGCATTCAAAGGATTTTATTATAACCCTACAAAGCTCTTTCTTGCAACGAGAAGAATTTTTACGATGGGAAAGCGCTTTGAAAAAAGGGGGATGTTATACACAGACGCCTCTATGGTGAGAGTCTGTGAAATTTTTAAGAGAGAGCTATTGTGACAAATGTTAACTTTGATCATGAACTTGCGTTCGGCATTTTAAGGGATTTTCTCGTTGGGCTGTTGAGAGTAAAAACCAATTGAGCAGAACATTGCTTTTGGCGTCTTGTGAATTTTCTTTTAGCACTGGGTTTGCCCGCAAAAGACATGCTGCACACAGTATTACACACTTTACGGTTAAATGCATTCATATCTATCTATCTATCTATCTATCTATCTATCTATCTATCTATCTATCTATCTATCTATCTAGAAGCGTATCCTCCATTTACAAGCACACAGTAAACGAGTCAGTGGTAGAGAATCGAGTGTTTTGCTTCCTCCATATATGAGCAGAATGCATAGGTCTGCAAATTATGCTATTTCCTCAGTAGCCGCTGCAAAAAGCTCAAATCCTAATCTATAGCCAACACGTTTCCTTTTACATTTCACCTGTCGACTGATGGTTTGCATGCAAGCTGATATAATGCTAACTTGAATGACCAGCATGGAGTAAAAATAATGCTTTAAGTGCTGCTGTGATTGTTGCAGCAAACAGGTCCTATTAGTGTTTAGCCTCATGCACATTGTATTAGCCCAGCCTGGCTGTAGATACAAGCTAACTGAGTCTGATGTTTGTCCCTCTTCCACACAAAAAACAATAAAAAAAAAAAAATCTATTTCCCCAGTCACCTGTTTGATAGTAAGTTATAGGGCCACAGAGGTCTGCATAGGCCATTGCAAACATGGGCAATGCATTTCAACTCACTGCCAAAAGATTGTGTAAATTGTTAGTTTAGCTCCAGAGGAATGTGACGCACATAATGCGGTGAAATACTTTTGTTGTTGTATATTTATAACAGATAAACACGTACTTAGAAGCCGTAAGTTGATATTATTTGCTCCAAGCGAATCGGATATTTAACACTCTTTATGGCTGGTTTATCTGATAGCCTCACTTACTCTGCTTGATGAATGTTGACTGAAATGTTATCATTACTAATGCCACTGAAACTGAATTCTTAGCATCTGGCAAGTCAATCGCCACCTCAGCTGTAAAGCCTCGTTTTGTCCATTTTTGTGTGAATTATTGTTGTTAATTCACCTGATGTCATTTCTGTTCCCCGTGAAACTCTGATTTTGATGATTTTATTTTACTTTGTCTTCAGGCACTCCTCGCACAAGGAAGAAGAGGTGTCCATATTCCAAGTTTCAGATTCGAGAGCTGGAGCGGGAATTCTTCTTTAACGTTTACATCAACAAAGAAAAAAGGCTTCAGCTATCCCGAATGTTAAACCTCACCGACCGCCAGGTTAAAATTTGGTTTCAGAATAGAAGAATGAAAGAGAAGAAGCTGAGCAGAGATCGCCTGCAGTACTTCTCTGGAAACCCCCTATTGTGAGCAGGAGCAGAATGTGTCACAGTCTTGGTCAGTGACATTAAGGCCTACTCTTATCTCATTGAATTGTAATCGTGGGCATAAGCATTTTCTAAAGGAGCCCAAATCACCAACAGTGCAATGTTAAAGTGGACAGTGGGAGTTACAGGCCTGCATGGGATAAAGTCGCCATTTTCTTATTGCCCTATACGGGCGGCGGTGAATTTCTAGCTGGTCCCCAGAAAGGCCTACATGGTTAGAATAATCATTTATATGCTGTTCTTGAATATGTCCCTCTATTTATCACGATTCTCCATTGTGTTTATTCTATTGTTCATATAGACATATTTGTTAATAATATCAAATGTAACAAACAGTTTGAATCCTTATTGCGCAGACAACTTTTAGCTCTTCCCCTTCCCTCTGGTCTCTGTATATAGCATATCATTATCTAATTATTTCTCGACCAGAGTATGAACAAGTTATAGCAAATCTCCAGGCTGCATTGTTTTCGCCAGTGAGAACTGTGACGTCCAATCTGTGAAAGTATACCCCCCCTGTACAGAGTAGCCTATGCAATGTGCATTCGTGACTGTAAATAGGCGTATGTTGAATTTCCTTTCCCCCATCCCTGCTGCTATTTTTCAGTACAGTGCCCCTACAACTTCAACAGCTTTAACGCCAACACTCGTTAAATTATTTGCTTCAAACATTGGTGCTTTGGATTCCAGAGACGAGGAACAGATTGTCGGCCTGTGTATCATTAATATAATACCTATGAAATAAACAGAAACATATAGGCAAAACTCACCGACTTTGTGCTTTTTGTGCTGTCGTTGTCACAATTACCTTTACTGGTGACTATGTATTTAGTCTTGAAAAGCGCAATATTTACTGCTTGCGCTTTGTCATGACTCAGAGCCTTTTGGAAATAGAAACCTCTCATGAATGTGTGTATGACCTAAAACTGCTGGCCTACATACATAACGTGTGCACACTTCTAAATTGTGTTGATGGCGAGTTCATGATCATACACACATTTGCTGTGGTAGATTTGGTGGCGGTTGTGAAACTGAGGAGCAGGCCAGTGTGGACGGGCCTACACTTGTCAGATTTTAGGGTAATTTGAGGTTACACCACTCCGAAAGATCATGTTTGAATTGTAGCAAGCCTGTTAACGAAGGTAAAGCCCAGATCTTAGAAATGTAGAGAAGGAGAGTGGAATGATAACCTCTTTTAGTGCCCACTAAATGGAATCGCCACTCTTGTAGTCTAGACACTACCATAAAGACAGGGGCACTAAATGGCTATTTTTTTCTCTTAATTGCACCGTCTGTTCTTGGGAATGGCGTTCACTTCCGCAGTAAATAGTAAACAAGCAAGACTGGATGTCCGAAGGGGGGGAAAAAACCTGCCAAGAGGTTTCGACATGAACTCGGTCTATGTAGTCTGCAACGTCAAACCAAACCCCAACCCCTCCGCAAACAAATGTCATGTCCGCCATCTGAAAATTGGAAAATCCAGTCTTTTCCAGAGAAGTTATTTTTTTGCTTCATGTAAATGTAATTATCTATCTATATATATATTTATTTATCTTTATTTATATATGTTTTTTTCCAAAACATTTGGCCTATAAAAGATGTCGTGAAATTGTAATGTTTTCCCTCTCAGATAAAGCCAAGCTTTTAAAATAATATTCTATTTGTGTGTGCTGACCCCAAACTTGAGCCTATTTCAACACATCAGTTACGAATAAATAATTGTTGACTAATTGGTCCATGTGTTAGAGATATATAGGGGAAAGGAGATCATAATTGGCATGCTTCTTTTTTTTCAAGTGTGTGTGTGTGTGTGTGTGTGTGTGTGTGTGTGTGTATGTATGTGTATACCTTATGTGAGCGCATGTGTATTTCCTATGCGGTGCACTCAGCATATGTGCATGATGATTGCACGTGTGCATTAACTACAATTTATAATTAAATGTAGTCTTTGAACTTCAATAATGTCAAGGCCTTCACCTTTAACCCGCTGCAATAAAGTGGAATCAAGGAGCCCCTTTAGCCCGGAAATGTGTGCAGCGGCGGAATGGGCCAATGAGAGTGAGTGGGAACAGAAAATGGAATGTGTACAGAGACCAACTTTGACCCCTCGCATTAAACTACAGCAGGTAACTTTGCCAGCTTTAGCACGCCCAGTAAATACACTTTATTGTCCTTGTAAAATGTATACGTTTTCACGCATGAGGCGTTTTAAAACATGTTGGTATAAACTGTAGGCCTGTATTTGTATTCTCTAAAGAAAAAAAAATCATGTTGGTGTGTGGCTGTCGCAGTGTGCCTGTCGTTATGGGTGGTTCTTTAACTGCAAACTTGACGGTTTTGTGCGTGGGTGTGTGAGTCCGTGTGAGTCAGTCCATCCTTTGATTCCTGACTTTAGATGTGACTCCTGCTCAGCTTGCTCCGTGTGGATCAAAGAGGTTTTACAATGCAGTTTTGCATGGTTGTGTTTTTACTTCTGAGTGTTTAGTTAAGGTTGGGGTCATTTTGGCCGAGGTTGGGATAAAGGTTAAAGTTTTGTTTGAGGTTTGAATTATTTCAGTGCAAAGAAAGAAAAGGGAAAAAAGCAGATGGGGCGCTACTCGATGCAGTTGTATCCACGTGAGGAACAATATACATTAACAGGAGCCTGGCGTGTATTTTCTCTACAGGGACTGGGATCTCAAGATCTCTGAGGCTCAATTTGCATATGTCAGTGTATTATCAGGAAGGACAGGGGACCGTTTTGACAAAAGAAAGACGATGCACATTGGCGGAGATCAAGGCTATAGGAGCCCCCCTCTTGCCACACCCACCAACCTTGGCCCTGGGACGGTGACGTGGGTAATTTGTAGGTTTCTCCAACACAGAACGTCACTAACGGAGAGCGCTGCAGAAGCTCTTGCAAATGTTGTCTATCAACCACACGGGGGCCAGGGGTCTCCCGGCCTCTGCACTGTTTTGTTTTCTCAACGAGATCTTGAAAACGTTTCCTGAGAGACGAAAGCTCCGGGGATTTCAGAGTAGTAGCCGCGTATTAGGCGCAGAGACATCCTCCTTCGTGATGTGTTGTGTGACAGAGGGACAGTCCACTCTGCTGGAATGCAGCTCCTGTCATGGCTCAGTCTGGGTTGTGCACTTGGGTGTTGTGGTGAGGGAAAATGGCGGTGTGTTTGATGTAGATGAGACGAATGAGGGGGCAGAAGATGCCATTGTGCCATTTAAGTGTAATGGAAAATTCATTCATTTAATTACATAAAAAAATCCGAGGAATTACTAAGAGATTTTCAGTTTTTTTGATTTGATGCTGTAAAACGATCTCTAATATTTGATTTTCTTTTATTTTGGAAATACCTAGACTATAAACAATTAACATTTTCTTTTTGGGTCCGGGGTGGAGTGTGTATTTACACAGAAAATTTTAAGATTATTTCCGTAGGCCTAAACCTTATTATTAAAATAGTGTGATAACATAAGCACTGACAGCTGACTTAGCCCTGCAGTTACCGAATAATATAGAACACAATATATTTTTTCTTTTTTATTGAAGTTAACATATTAGACAAATATGTAACAGCTTAGAAAAATACAAAACTTAGTATATATAGGCCTATGGAAAAATATTCCCACAGGTTAAGTGCTCTAGTCAATTAGGATTTTTTTCGACTGTGTTCATTTCCCAATATTTTGCTGCGCAATTCATCCCTTGGGAATTTATTAATTTTTAGTGTGTTTTGCCTTTAATTGCGAAGCAAACGTAGGAGTTTTCAATTTTTTGTCTACAAATACTAATCAAGGGGTTATGGGCTATTGAATGTTTTTATACTACAGTGTACTACGCTCATCTCAGCACCTATCCTGTTCTACAGGGCAATAAAACAGCTCCACGCTGTAAAACGAGCTCCTGCCATTGCTGCAACCAAATAACTCTCAAAACGCTTCAATTTACATGAGCGCATGTGTGGACTGCTATTTATTTATTATTGCCACCAAGCCTAAGCCTCTCTGTCATTTAAAGAAGGTTTTCAGTCGGATAATGCGGCGGATGTGTGTATTTTGTGTTTGGTGTGGTCGTCAATGGTAATAATGTAATAGCCTAATACTGCTGTGCTTTGATGGCTGTTGCCACTTTGGGTTTTAATTAAGAACTTACATGATTCTGGCACCATAAATTCGCAGTTGCTCATGGAGTGGACAGCAGCATGAAAGAGGACACAAAGCAGAACCTCCTCACATCCAACTGGAAAGATATTTCAAAGTAGCTGCCAGGAGCAAATTAGTTGTGTCGCCCCAGTGGCTCCACATTAGTGCAATGAGGAAACCCGCTAGCACGCCTTCTGTCCCACAGCATTCAACACCTATACCTGTTTGCAATATAATAACGGCTTCCAGGTTTGGAATCAATTGGACGACAATTTAGAGGCGAAAGTGTGGGCTGTAGTTTAGACAAGTGTAAAGACCGTGGTAAAATACAGTCACATTCAACTCTGTGTGTGTGTGTGTGTGTGTGTGTGTGTGTGTGTGTGTGTGTGTGTGTGTGTGTGTGTGTGTGTGTGTGTGTGTGTGTAGGCCAGGGTCGGTTACACATTAGCTAGGAGTGTACGTGTGTGAGAAAATGCTTTTAAGGTTTAATGCACACAGAAATATCCTACAGCGTGTATAAGCTACACATAGACTATAAATAAAATAATCAAACTTTCTTTTTTTATTCATTTGTAAAACTATGCTCACCTCAAGTGTGTTTTCCGTGAAATTGTTTGCCTTAACAACAAAGTAGGCTGTACGCATCTGCAGAGAATAAATCACCAGATTTGTAGGAATGTTTTTTTATCGGGAAACAACGTTGCCTTCCACGTGTTTCCATGAGAGAAATAGACCTGGAGACCTGGACAGTAAACAGCAACAGAGAGTGCATTTGTTATGGAAGCAGAAAGGTATGCGTGCTCAGTGAAAGCTTCCCGTCTTTGAATACGTATTACATACAAGTGT